GGCGGCGGCGGCGGCGGCGGCGGCGGCGGCGGCGGCGCACGCCTTTAATTCCTGCTCTCTGGGGGCAGAGGCAGGAGGATCTCTGTGAGTTCAAGGCCAGCCTGGTTTACAGAGTGAGTTCCAGGACAGCCAGGACTATACAGAGAAACCCTGTCTCGAAAAACAATCAAACAAACAAACAAGTCAGTGAGGAGAGAAGAGGAGACAGCAGGCAGGGTGTGGAGCAGGAGCGGAGCATTTGCCCCTCGTGCTGGAAGTCCTGGGTTCCATCCCCAATACCCGAGTCTTTTTGTTGTTGTTGTTGTTGTTTTTTCAAGACGGGGTCTCTGTGTAACAGAGTCCTGGCTGTCCTGAAACTTGCTTTGTAGACAGGCTGGCTTCCAACTCATAGCGATCCTCCTGCCTCTGCCTCCTGCGTGCTGGGATTACAATACACGAGTCTTAAAAAGCTCTTAAATTGGGCACAGTGTCCCACACATGTATTCCTCGTAATAGGGACACTGAGGATGGAGAGTTCAATTCCATCCTGATCTACCCTGTCTTAAAAACAAAACAAAAAATCCTCCAAAAACAGAAGAAGGGGCTGAAGAGATGGTTCAATAGTGAAGAGCTCTGGCTACTCTTACAGAGGACCCGAGTTTGATTCCCAGCACTCACGTGAGGGCTCACACCTGTCTGTAACACCAGTCCCAGGGAATCCCAGTGCCCTCCTCTGGTATCCGGGAGTCCAGGCATGCACATTGTACACAGACATACATGCAAACACAACACCCACACACATGAAATAACAAAATAATTTTTAATTAAAAACTATTCCAAAATAAGTTTAAATATTTTTAAATGTAGCTCACCTTCCCTCTATAATAAGCATATTATATATCATAAGTAGGAACTTTTGCATCTGAAAAATGACAGAGCCCTTGATGTGGACAGGGAGAAGTTGGAGAAAGGGGCTGTTGGAATGGGTTCTAGATTTCAAAACGTTAGGACATCTGTTAAACTGGCTCTGTGGTGCATGCCCGTAATCCTAGGGCTGGCAAGATGGAGGACGGACTATTAAGTTTGCCATCAGCCTCAGCTACATACTTCAAGGTCGGCCTAGACAACCCCTATGAGCCTTTGCTTCAGTAGATAAAATGGTTCAGTGTTAAAGTATCTCCACCAAACAACATCAGAACTGAGTCCTGATCCCCAACAACCATGTGAAAAGCTGGACAGAGCAGACCTTGTTTGTAATCCCAGCCGTGCGGGTAGCGGGAGAAGCGACAGGCAGGCTCCTGGACACAGACAGCAGCGTGGAACAGCCAGCCGGCTGCAGTGCGCTGGTGTGAGTCCTGCTTTCCATTTAAGCAAAGCACAAAGAAGTAGGAGCATTTTTGGAACTGAATGAAGGGTGTTCAAGAACTGGGCTTTTGTGGTACTAGAGAGATGGCTCAGTGGTTAAGAATACTAACTGCAGGCCGGGTGGTGGCACACACCTTTAATCCCAGCACTCCGGAGGCAGAGCCAGGCGGATCTCTGTGAGTTTGAGGACAGCCTGGTCTATAGAGTGAGTTCCAGGACAGACACCAAAGCTACACAGAAAAACCCTGTCTCAAATCCCCCTCCCCCCCCAAAAAAAGAGCAC